GTCAGGGGACAGGGCCGCTGCCCACGGGCACGCGCCGCCGCTGCTGCAGGCGGCCAAGCCTGCGGCGTGCCTGTGCCATGGAGAGGCCCCAGGGACGGGGCCAGGCATGCCTCATGGGTGTGCGCTGTGCACTTTTCTTTCCTCTGTCTGCAGCGTGGCAGTGGCGGGAGGAGTCTAGCTGGCGTAGACGCTTGCAACAGAGCAAAGCAAAGCACAGTCAGTAAGGCTGAGCCGACGTGATTTCCAGTGGGGTGGGCAATCAGCAACCAAGGTCCCATCTTGATGCAGGTGACCGTGTTGCAACGCGTCCTCCGACATCAGAAGCCTTGCCTACTTGTTTTTATCCATGTTCAGTCGCGCACAGATGGGGTTTGGTGCTCTCACGCAGCCATCACTGGGCGACCGTTCTGTAGGGACCCTAGTGTGTTGATATTCCCAACAGGTTGGTCAGGTCTAGTTGGCATGGACGGTTGTAACAAAGCAACTTTATTCAGATGCCGCCCGAGACAGGCTGCAGGCCGGCCCAGACTGCGCAGGAACGGCCCCAAGGATGCGCCCGAGCCGCTAGAGATCAGAGGGGACCGGACCCGTGCTGCCCCAGGCAGGCCTGCTGCTGGCCGGCACTGCCCCGCTTTTGCCCAAGGTTGCTACAGCTGTTGCTCATGTCCTTTGCCTGAACCTCTGAGAACTCTGTAGTCAGACCCTGCGCCCCATCAATGTGAGCCCTTTGCCATTGCTGGCGCTGCAGCTGGCAGTTGGCCCCATGCCTACATCCGACGAATATTGTCTCATCTCTCTTTTGCACTTGCTGTGTTGTCTGACGGACAGACAGGTAGGGTTGGGCACCTCAATACACTCTTGAGTAGGTTTTATCAAGGGTTACATACTCATGCAAGCGCGAGATTAACACGTAATCCTTCTGGTAGGAGATGTGAATGCCGCCGGACACGGAAATGCGAGACAATGTCGGTGGTTTTGTGATGTCTCCCTGCATTCTGAAAACATGCTCATGGCCGTCCTGAAATCTGCTGCCCTGCGAGCGCGCCAGCCCCACATCATGGCGGCCGGAAGCACTTTTGACTCCCCCATCCCACGCTCCTACCCCCCTTGTGAGAGCCCACCACGACTCAAGACCAAACATGTGGCGCGCCGCCGCTTTCCACCCATGCCGCCGATATGCCTGTCAGTGCCAGTTGGGGAAGTTGCCGGCGTACTGCTGCCTGATGTACGCCTCCGTCAGTGCGTGACTGAGGCGGCGGCCAAACACGCCGCGGAACAGCTCCACCGCCTCGTCCACCCCTATGGTGCGGCGGTGCGTCCCCAGGAAGCGGTGCACCACGCGCCGCGCCGGCGCCCAGCCGCTGACGCCCGGCGCCTGCTCCGCGCCCTCCCTGGCCTTGTCCTCGCGCAGGCGGCGCCCCGCGTGGTCCCAGCCCATCAGCAGGCGCATCTTGGCGGCGGGTATCGCCGCGCCCTCCGTGCACACCGCGTCCACCATCAGCCGCAGGTCGGCCGCGCGCCCCAGCCGCCACCCGGCCATCGCCTCGGCGGCCTCCTCCAGCGTCGCCGCGGCCCCGAAACGCGCCGCGCGCCTGCTGGCTGCCAGGCGCTCGGACGTGCCGCGTGCGTTCTGGGCGGCTGCCTGGACGCGTGAGAACACCTCCTACGTGCAGGAGAGGGGGGGAAATGTGTGGAGCCGAGGCAGTGGGGGGCAGGTGACAGCGTCTGGCCGGAGCGTTTTAAGAAGGTTGCTTTTGTTGTGCAATAGTACACTGCATGTCGTGCAATGATGCTTTGGGTGGGTCAAGCAGGTGGGCTCATGAGCACACACGGCGTTCTACTTGTGCACCACACCCTGTCAACAAGCAGGGCTGTGTGTGAGTTTGCGACAACAAACGCGTACCGCCGTTTCAGCCTCTGTATCACACCGGCAGCAACACTGCCCACACAAGACTGCGCCCCAGTGCTCACCCTCTTCCACAGGCGCCGCAGGACCTCCTCAGCCTGCACAAAAGGGTCGACGTACCACCCCTCTGCGATCCAAGCGCGCCGCTCCGAGTTCTTGTCGGTTTCGCCGTTCTGCAACAGCAGCGCGGCCAGCTGCGCCGGGGTCAGCCACTCTGCCACCCTGGCGGGCGGCGCCCAGGCACCCAGGGCGGCGGCACCCACAGGGCTGCCAGAGGCAGACGCGGCCTGGTGGGGGCAAGGAGGTTCGTCGTTAGTAAGGAAAGAGTCGCAGCTGGACATGATGGCGGCATGGAGCGAGCCACTTGCTGGACGTTGCCCAGGAGCCACAGGGCTGCAAGCAGGTTGCAAGTTTCACCCACCATGTTTGGCTGCACCTTTCGCAGAGGTGCAGCAGGACCCAAAAGCATTCCCGCAGGGGAGCGAGTGCAGAGCGCACCACCCTGCCGCGCCTCACCTGCACCACGCCCAGCAGCCGCAGCAGCGGCGCCACCCTCGCCTCGTACGCATTCTGCGCCACCGCCAGCTCCCTCGCCGCCCGGCCGCCCGCCAGCGCCGCAGCCCAGTCCACCGCCGCCGCCGCCGCCACCACGCCCTGCTCCAGCTGCTGCAGGCTCTCGGGGCTGCCCAGCGTCGGCCCGTCGCCGCCCTGCGGGCGCGCGTCGTCCCAGCGCGCGACCGCCGCGGCCGCGGCCGCCTCGGGGTCCAGGTTCATCACGCGCGCCGCCGCGCCGGCGGTGCCCAGCTCCACGTTCCAGGACGCGAGCGCCTGGCAGCGCCGCATCTCCTCCTCCAGCACGGCCAGCTTCAGGGCCTCCCAGTCGTCTGCAAGTTGCGCATGGGGTCGGGGGCGTGAGAGGGGGGTTGAGCGCAAGCAGGGCCGCGGGCGGGCGGGTCGCCTGCACGGCAGCAGCGCCGCCGCGGTCGCAGGCCCGCCAATTCGGCAACACGCACGGGCGGGCAGGTGGTGACAGTGATGAATCTGCATTTTTGGCCTCATGCGGCCCTGCCTGCCTGCAACCTGTCCCCCTCTGTACCCCTTGGCATCACTCACCCGCAGTCATCGCAACGTCGCCGGCGCGCAGCGCACACAGCAGCTGCATCAGCATGACCTCGCCGCTCGCCACCACGTCCACTGTGCGTGCCGCGGGGCCACCGGTCAGGAAGCGGATGCCGCGGCCGGGCGGCGGCGAGTCGCCGGGCGCCCCGTGGCCGCCCTCCACCTTGGTGCGCTTCGCGTCGGACGGCCGCGCCTCGTCGCAGCGCGCGGGCGCGCCGCCGCCGCCCTGGCCGTCAGCCCCCGCGTCCTCGCTGCCGCCGACCAGGTCTCCGAGCATGCGGCGGCGGCGCCAGCGGTAAACCGCCCCGCACGTCTGCAGCACCTGTGTTTTTAAGCGATCAGGCGCAGGGTTTGACATGGGAGAAGTGGGGCCTCAGCATTGCGCACGCGAAGCTTCTGAGTACCTGTACAACTAGGTAATCACGGTGACCCATCAAGCAACAGCCCGTCGTCGCGCCGGCAAGCCTCCCGAGCTCTGCCCCTGGCTGCCCTGCACCAGCTCACCTGCTCCGCCACCCACGCGCGGAACTCGCTGGGCGCCTCCTCGTCTGTGAGGTCGAGCAGGGCGCGGCCCAGCACCAGGAAGGGCACAGTGCGCATCTGGTCATCGGTGTAGCCCTTTAGTGGGGGGTGGTGGGAAGGGGGGAGGAGAGGGGACAGGAGATGAGGGGACGTTTCGGGCTTAAGGGAAGGGGTGAGGCGAGGGGGGGATATGCAGAGGCCTCGGCGGCACGCATGGTGCGTGAAACAGGCCACCGCGTAGGCACCAACGTGAGGGTCGCGGGAACTGCAGCCTGCTGCTTCGCCAGACAACACATTAGTGTGGTTGCCTGCTGCATGTGCTCACACATAGCATCCGCAAAGCCAAGCGTTGCGCAGCGCAGTATTGAACGCATGTGGCGCTCCCTCACCAGCGGGTTGAGCGTGCACATCCAGCCAAACACCGGCTTGGCCAGCTGCCGCGCCACCGACCAGTGGGTGGGGTTGATGAACAGCGGCAGCACACCCGTGATAGGCTCGCGACCCTCGCCCACCACCACGCCGTCGTTCTCCGCGCGCTGGAAGCCGCCGTGGACCTGCCGGGTTTGCAGAAAGGCCAGTGCGGGTTGATTTCGTTCGTGAGCCACGCCTCATTTGTGTGCAGCCTGTGGGCTGCTGGTATCACCACCCAGTAAGCGCCCATCTCAGCTCAGGCTTGTCACAGTGCGGCGCAGCCGCACATTCGGTCCCTCTGCTGCTTTTCAATTGCACATTGCACTTCACAGTCCTGGCCCCCTCCACTCATCGCAACGCCCTGTCGTGTGCTGCCGCGCGCACCTGCTCGGCCTCGCGGCCCGCCGAGCCCAGCGCGTAGTTGAGGGCGTCCAAGAAGGAGTCCGCGGTGATGCGCGTCGGCGTGATGGCCTTCGGAGCACAGGAAGTGGGGGGCGTTGAGTTGGAGAGGGGTGAGCAGCGAGCAGGACTCTGTGCCAGAGGACAATCCATTTGCGTGGGCCTGCTCCTTTCTACCATCCATGGCAGCGCGCTGGTGTTGCACACCACGCACCTGCCAATACACAATCTCAATAGGGGGCTCCATACACCAACTACAGTTCATTATTCATGCAGGCGGATAGCCCACATGCGAGCCCCACCTTGATGATGAGCCTGGTGGGGTCCATGATGGCTGCCTCGGGCCGCTCCACATCCAGCGCCAGGCACAGGCAGTCACCAGCCTGGGAGTGGTGCAGGAAATGCGCCGCGGCAAGATTGTGGGTCGAGAGGGACGGCATACACAATGCCCCGCAGGCAGCTTCAACGCGATGATCTCGCCCAGAGGGGGCGGCGCGTGGTCCATACCTGCAGGGCCTCCTTGTAGTTGCAGCAGGAGATGGCGCACGTGCCATACGGGTCAGCGTCCGGCAGCGCGGCCACGTCGGCGCCCCTGAGCGCCTCCTCCACCGCCGCGTCCACCTCCTCGCGCAGGTCCAGGTTGGTGCCGATGCGCTTCTCTGTGGGGGTGGGAAGGCAGGTGAAGCGGCAGCAACAAATTGGCAAGGTGCATCCATGCGAGGCAATGAGGCTTGCACTTTTGGAGTGTTCAAAGGCTTGCGCTGGCAGGCCCTCGATGACAAGCGCTCCGCACCCCAAGCAGAAATGCACAGCTGCCCTATCGTTCACATGATGCCCTCGGCTCCACCGCCTCAGCAATGCGCTGAGCCCACCCTACGCACCCAGCTTGTTGCGCAGGCCGGCCTTGGTGATGGTGCGGTAGGCCAGGTCGTTCAGCTGGGCAACGGCGTGGTTGGTGAGGCAGCCCGCCAGCGCCAGAGACAGCACCTGAGTGGTCAGCGGCGGAAGCAGGGGGTCAAGGCATGTGGCTTGATTTGGGGGAGTGAGAAGGGGGAAGTGCTTGCGCTTGGAGCAAACACAGGCCTGACCAAAATGATGCTGCGCCATCCCGCGCACGCACCTCGGTCTCGAAGCGGTTGAGCAGCTGCGCGGCCTCCATCAGAGCCTGCTTGGCTGCGCGGTGGGCGGCGCGGCCCAGCGGCAACAGCTCCTTCAGACGGCCCTGCAAGTGATGGGGGGGACGGCAACAGAGTCGACCGTGACGCTGAAGGGTTTGAGTGCAGTGATAGGCAAATTTGCCACTTGCGTGCAGGTTCCATTCCTTTCTAGAGGGCAGCCACTCTCCTTGGCTACTGCCAACCCAAGATTCTGCTGGTTGCACAATGCTCCTCAAGACTTTACGCACCTGCATCGCGTGCAGCCCCGTGCGCATGTCATGCAGCGTGTCACGGATGGCAAGGATGCCGTCCCGCGGCAGGTTGCCATTGGCCAGCTCATTGGTCCAGCCTATGGCCATGTCCTTCACAAGTGCAAGGGCCTGGTGAGGCAGGTCCTGGAAGTTGGAGGGAAGATCAATTGAGTTCTCAATCGATTGTGTATTATCACTGTTTGATCGAACAACATATCAATTGGCAAGAGACCCAGCGGCTGTTCGCTGCGTACATAATCGCCTGGCGCTCGCAGCCCCCAAACACCATCACACCCACCTGCATCGGTGCCTCCTGCACGGTCAGCGCCACCTCCAGCTCGGCCCCCACCGGCTCCGACAGCTTGAGCTGCACCTTGCCCCCTGCTGCGGCTGCTGCCGCCGCCAGGTCATCAGCGCTACACTTGAAGCAGGCGTGGCCGCGGAAAAGCGTCAAGCTCCCGGCCGCCACGCAAGCCGCGGCACCGTCGCCGGCATTGGCTACAGAGGTGTCACCGTCCTTGGGGCTGCCGACCTCCATGCCACTGGCATCAGGCTCAGCAGATTGCTCCTGCAGCAGCATGATGGACTGGGACATGCCAGCGGCATGCAGAGTGCAGCGCAGCCAGCGGAAGCTACCACCAGCCTGCTTGTGCAGCTCCTACGGGTGGAAGGGATCATGAACGTTTGAGGAGGTAGGATAAGAGCTGGCCATGAGCTTGCAAGTTATATTTACGACCAACCTGCGGCAGCAACTCAAGGTCAAACATGCATGTGCAGTCCCTACACATACACATGCGCTCATGCATACATGCATGGGCTTGCATGCGTGTGCATGCGCAAATGCAGGCATGTCATTTCGCTGCCGCAGCATGCACGGTCACATGCGCATGCAGGGACAGACATGCCAGGGACCCCACATGCATGCGCACCTCGAGGACGGTGTCCAGGGCAGGCTCAAGGTCAGCCGAGGGGTTCTGGATGTAGCTGAAGCCGCCCGGCTCGGTGCCCGCCAGCGCCAGGGACGACAGGAAAGCCGCGTCGTGGCTGCGCCCAAAGCCGAAGCAGTGGACCTGGTGTGGCATGGGGGTGAGGCGCATTACATGAGGGGAATAAGGGGTCTGAAAGGGGTTTGTGGGGGCAAAAATCAGTAAATGCATGCGAGCAAGACGGTTGCAAAGCCAAATGCAACACTTACTGTGCTGTGGCAAACAGTGTGCCAAATTCTGCAAACTCACCTGCCATGACCTGTCGCCCAGGGCCTTGGTGATGTGCTCTAGGCTGCACTGAGAAGAATACCGGTCGCAATCGCACCCATCCGTGAAGAAGCAGACAACATGGCGGCCCGTCATCGGGCAGGCCGTGGCAAGGTCGAGCACTCTGTCCAGGGGGCACGCAAAGCTGGTGCCACCGCAGGCGTAAATGCTGCTGACCTGCGGGGTTGGGGGGGGGGGGAGCGTCAAACCAGGTGGCAGGGGAATGTCAACAATAGGTGCTTGAGCATGCCAGTTGTCGATCACGCCTTGCCCTGAATATTCCTGCGCGTCGCGCATGCTTGGGCGAGCAGACAGAACCCAGATGGCGTTTCCCGCCCCAACTGCTCCGGGGCATGCAGCAGCACGTCGTAGCGAAAAAAGACACAGCGCGCAGAGAGCCTGGTCATGCACGCACCGTGTTGTCGCGATTCATCTTGGTGAGGCCCTGCATATCCTGGCAGAGGGACACGCGGTTGTCGTAGACGATCAGGTGGCACGATTCGAGCTGATGCAGCGGCGCCCGGTCGAGGAAGGTGCCAATGGCCTGCTTTGCCTCCTCAATCGGCCGGCCTGACATGCTACCGCTGTTGTCCAATGCCAGATAAACATGCACAGCACCATGAGGCTGCTGCATGGGGCCTTCAGTGGTGCCATTTGTAGCAGCCGGCTCAGGGAGCAACGTCAGCTGCAGGTTGAGGCTGGCAAAGCCTGGCAGGATGGTGCTGCATGCAGCCGTTGCCTTCATCACGGGCTGAGTGCCGACCGCGGGCTCCATCAAGCCCCGTCTAGGAGACTGTTGTTGGCTCGAGAGCAGTCGAGATCACGGTCAAAGCCTGTGGCGTATCAGGTGAACACGTAAGGTGAGATGAGAATGTTTGTCAACAGTGTCTTCTCGATTCGAGTCGATTCAAAGGCTCGCGAGTGTGGAGCTACACCGTTCCAGGTCACCTGCGCGGCAGCTGTGCCGCGAACCTACGATATGCCTCAAAGACGCACGCAATGAGATGTCAAATACGTACTGGTTTGTGATCTCACAAAGTGCATATGAGCACTCGGTAAGGGGGTCGGGACATCCGGGTGCGCAAGCTCGCGCAAGGGCGGCGCAGAACACGGACACTACCGGCCTACTCAATCACGTCATGCGCGCCTTGCGTATGCGCTTGCAAATTGAACACGGCCTGTACCTGCACCCTCCCTGCTGTGCCCCCACCCCCATGAACCTGGTCAAGTGCTGGCTGCGTTACAAACTCGAACGCCTCCAAGCTTTCTGAACTTGCAAACATGAGACCCACCATGCTCTACGCCCCTGCAGAAAAAAAGGATTCAACCAAATAGCTGCTCTGCCCACCTGTCAGGTCACACTGCCTGCTGCCGCCTGGTGCCTCCAGCGGCCTGCCTCCGCACCGTGAACACCCAGATGTCGTCGTCCCGCCAGTCTTCGCTAAGCTCCTGAAAAGGCACCTGCAATAATTGTGTGGCGGGGGAGGCGTGGATCATGCTCACACACTCGAAAACAGACACACGTGAGGATGCAGACGACCCGCCAAGCACAGAGAGTAACGAGCAGCATGCATGCTCCAGGGTGCATCGAGGCGCCGCGAGCGATTTGCCCGACTCAACACAAATCAAAGCAACAGCCAGGACGCTGGGGTGCCCAACAAAAACGTGCTGCCCATCACCTGCTCAACCAGGTAGTGACGCTTTACCAGCAGCCGCACAAACTGCGCCACCCCTGTGTCGGCTCGCAGCTCGACTGCCAGCAGCACGGTGGGGCCCAGGCTCGCCTCTCCCACCACACTCAGACTGCTGAAATCCTCAGCACTCCGCTGCAACCCATCGTCACCGCCGTTGGCGCCTGCCGCCGCGCCCGCGCTGTCCTCAGCTGCCGCGTCGCTACCACGCTTCACGGCGTCGCCTGCTGCCTTGGTCATGCCCTGTGTGGTGCTGGCGCTGCCGAGCAGCATGCTGATGGAATCCACAAGGGGCTGCAGGCCGTCCGGGTCATACACCAGATCAGACAGCAGCACCAGGTCCCAGGGGCCTGCTGCGGTCACCTCCTTGGGCGGGGGCCCGCCCCACTCGTAGTCGGCTGCTGAGGTGCTTGCCTCGAGGTGGTTTGCCTGGGGTGGTTGTGCGTGTGCATGCAGAGGGTGAGGGAGCCAACAGCCAGGCGGGCTAGCACTTGGGAATTGGTACGTAGTATTTCTTTGGTGGCGTGCCCCTTGCAGGGAACGCTGGTTGACGCGATGTTGGGTGGAAATTGCAGGGGTGGACCAGAATAACGTACAACCCGAGCGATGCCAAACAACAGCCGCCAGCAGCGCCATACCTCAATGTTGGTGTTGAGCAGGCCTAGCAGGTGGGGCCGGTCTGTCAGGAGCACCTTCTCAGCACCCATCGCCGCCGCTGCAAGGCCGACTGCGCCGGTGCCCGCGCCCAGCTCCAGCACACGGCTGCCGATCAGCTTAATGCGAGGCGGGCCACCTAGCTGCTGCTGCTGCTGCTGCTGCTGCTGCTGCTGCTGCTGCTGCTGCTGCTGTACCTGCTTGGCAAGGTAATGTATGAGCACCAGCGCCTGCAAATGCGCAGGAGAACAGCGCAGCGATGGTGGTGGTAGGTGGCATGTACTGCGCAATCTCAGCGCAGGTGCAGCGACGGTGGAGGAGGCTCCCTAGTCACTGTCAAGCGCAGCGAAGGGTGACTCTAACAAACAGGGGGCCATACATGCATGCGCGACACGCGTCTCACGCCCTGTCGCATGCAACTGCACCGCAACCTGACCGTCACCCCGTGGCGCTCACCGAGTCCCACACAACAGCGCCCGCATCGTTCTCCAGATCACTGTCTTGGTGGATTGTGAGCTCCACTCCCCCTGGAAGCTCCAGCGCACGGATGGACATGGTGGGTTGATCACTGATCAGAAATGTCGCTGAGCACAAACGTTTCTGGTCGCGATGGTCGCATTCGATCAATCAAGGTGTGAAACAAGTTGTCGTTGCGACTAAACCGCAGACAATCGATCTGACTGCTTGGAATGACAGTCTTGGTTGAATGCTGCTTGTATTGAGGCGGACAACGCCTTCCGCAATAAAGTTGAGCTCAAGCAGCCGGTGGACGCGCTGGATTTTAGAAGGAAGTGGTGACGGGGCTCGCAGCAGTGCTGCGCGCATGGCGTCGCAAGCGCAGCAGCAGCTCGTGCCACCACAGCCGCCTGGTCCTGAAGACTGCTGCCAGGTGAGTAAGTGGGTCAGCAACCCACTCACAGGCCAACAGTGTTAGCTCTGGACTGTGTCAAGTCCAAGGCAGCGTCAGCTAGGGCTGTCGCATGGAAAAGACAGTGTGTGCGGCACCGAGCCTGTGCACCCTCTCAGCGAGGTGCCTGCACACGCAAAGCAGGCACATATGAGGCGCAGCATTCTGAAATAGAGGTGCATCAGCTGCTTTCTTCACCGCCCATGCTGCCAAACTGCAGCCACGTGGACCGCAGAGCTGCAAGCCTGCGCCTCCACCGCCTGTCAGCCACCCAACTCCCCTGCCCTCTGCTGTGAACCCTGTGCTCCACGATTTCTAGAGCGGCTGCAAGGTGTGCGTGTGGGACACCTACAGGGACGAGTTGAAAGAATACAACCTCCGACTTGCTGAGCTGGACCCGACCGCGCAGCCAGTCGCCGAGGCCGCGCAGGAGCAGATGGTGGCGGCGGGGCTGGACGCTTTCGAAAAGCTGGAGCGACAGCTGGCTGCGCAGCAGCGGCGGCAGCAGCGGGAGCAGCAGCGGGAGATTGAGCAGCAGCAGAAACGGCAGAAGCAGGAGCAGCAGATAACATGACCGGCCTTGTGGGGGCCACCACTTCTTTCCGTGGATGCGACGACTCCTGCATTACGGTCTGCTCGGGCAGGCGATCTTCAGTGGCCAGCAGTGGGCTTTGCGGCTCGGCCTCGTGGCTGCCGCCCAATTGAGCCCAGCTGTTGGCTATGTATGGTGCCACCACTGACACGCCGGTGACGCGTGCCTGCTCCAACTGCGGGTGGCACCGTCGCCTTCGCTCGGTTTTGTCGGCATTTACCCCTGGATTGAACCCACAGCGCACAATTAGCGCCTGCTTGGTGGGCCAAGGAGCCCCCACCCTGCGAATCATGGGAGCACAGCCACCACACTCTGCACCACTCGTCGACAGATTACTCCTGCAGGTTTTCCTTCTCCATTGGCAATGACCAATTCTTTCATGTGACACTGGCTTGTTCATGAGCCCACCCATGTGTGTAATGAGCCTTTCTCAATCACAGGCACGTCCGACAACGCGTGTTGACTCAAGGACCCGTGCTGCTGCGTGTTGGTATTGAGTGAGTCTCCCCCTACTGACAGCATTCCACTGCGTATTGCAACGCACACATAAATATCAAAGAAACGGCAGGCCAACATGCAACTCAACGCAAGCTGCGTCACAAAGGCTGAGCCCAAACGCGTCAGCTTGCAACAGCACCAGGGGGGGGCTCGCCCTCGTCCCCCCCTAGGCCCAGCTGCAGCCCGTGCCCGTCGGTGGCCACGAGTGCCGGCCGTCGCAGGCCCCAGAACACCAGCCGTCGCCGTGGATTTGCGCTCCCATCGCCGCTGGGAGCCCTGGCCCCTGCCACGACGTCTGGTGCGTCGTCACCGC